TTCTTTTACGTTCTCGCTGGGCTTCTCCTGGGAAGATGGATCCGATGTCGATGCACGCCGTCGTCGACCAGCAAGGATCCCGTCGGCTGCGAGCAAGGGATGCGACAAGGAAGCTGGTACCGATGATGGAGTGGACAGGAACAGTGGGTTCCCTTGTTGCCCAGGGGAAGAGCCCACTACAAGTTGACCAAAGTGGCCCGTGCTTTCTCAGGTCTGGGACTTTTTCTTTCTTTCTCCTTCTCAACTTCTTTTCCCGTCGGTGGTCATGCAGTGCGAGACAAGAACAATGCAGTGCAGCCTGGACGGCAACCAGCAGTTGAGTGACAGCAGCAGGCAGACAGACAGACAGACAGACAGACAGACAGACAGACAGACAGACAGCAAGTGCAGAGCAGGGCAGTCCCCAACAGAGATTGAGAGACTTTGAAGACGGGAGGGACTTGATCGAGTCGAGGAAGCTTCCGTTGGTGGGGCACCAATATGGATTATCTCGCCCGGCCAACTTTGACTTTTGATAAAACAGCACTTGTTTCCGGCAGAGACTCATTGCTCTCAACAAACAAACTTCAGTTCCTCTATCTTTTGTCAGAAACATGCAGATGATGAGGCTCGAAGCAAATATGCAGAAAGATGCCCAACCATCACTTTCCGTCCTGCCCTTGCTACCCATCAATCTGATATCGGTGATATCCAATGCCCCCCATTCCCCCTCCTTTTTCAAAACTTCTGTCGGACCTTGAGCTATTAGATGCCGACCTAGACCAGAGAGTTTGGGTTGTAGCCATGCTGTCACGGTGTCTTCGGTGCAACTGCGAGTTTGTATTCTTTGACAAGATGACCTCTGTGACTGCATCCTACAATCAAAGGAACCCCGTTTTTCGTGTCACGGTGCGGCAGAGGGGCACCATCAGATGTCATTGTAGAAAAGTCTGTACAGAATATTCGTGTATATCAATACTGTACAAGTGATTAAATTGTCCACAACCTCCGCATATGGGCCCGAAGATCCGCGCCCAGGCAACGCCCATTGGATGAACGACCGAATGACCGGCCATGGGGCATGGAGGGGAAGAGAAGAGCGACTGACGGACTGGGGGAGGGAAGCAACCAAAATGATGGTGGTGGTGGAGGGGGTTGGCGGGGTAGGTACCGCTCATGAAAATGATCCAAACTGGGAAATGAAAGCCCTCGCTTGCTTGCGGATCATGTGCCCAGAATAGCAAGCCGAAGGAATTGACTCCGATGAGAAAAAAATATTGTCTCAATTATTTGATCCGATCTGATTCCAAAACACCAAGCTTTTGAACAGCTGAACTGTCACGATGCAGACCGTTCCGTCCAGTATTGAGGCAAGCAGGCAGGCAGGCAGCAAGGTACATGCACTAACAGATGTACCTCTCTGGGTTCAAATGCATGGGCCAAGTGGCCTGACGTAATTGCCAGTGTCAATTGAACCAAGCTCAACGCTAACAAAAACTCAAAAAGTGCAACAACCAAGCTTCTTTGCAAATTCCTGGTCTGCCGTGTACATGTGTAGACGATGGATGCTTCGTTTGAAACTCAGGTCAGGAGGTTTCCATTGACTGGATATTGCCGGTTCGTAAATGTGATAATTAACTGATGGAGATCGAGTTTATTCGAGTTATTACTGGGGATAGAATCAGGAAGAAGTGCTGGCAGTAACACTTCATCAAGTGCCAAAGAGACCGAAGACGGCCCGACGAATCGACGATGGCCAGTCCCCTTTCCGCGCCGAACTGGTCGCTTTTGGCGGTGATGGAAAATGGCAACGCTACCCGGGAACTTAAAGAAACTAAAACCTAAATCCTATGCTGACAGTTTGACAGCCAAGAGAGCGTACAAATTTGGTAAAGGTCTTTCAAAGATCACAAGTACATCAGAGCTCGAAGAATCACGTCTCTGGTGTACTTATCAAGGATCTCAGAGTGCACATACTCACCGCCACCATCAAAACATCAGACGAGACCAAAAGAACGAGCCTCCAACTGCCCTTATCATCCCATAAACCCCAGAGCCCCCCATCTCGCGAATCGAGGATCGAGGATCCGAGCGAGTCGACTCGGGGTCACCGCCCAAGTCACCGCTCTCGACGCCCAGACCTCCATCCCCAGTCCCCTTTTGTATTTCGAGTCCTGCGAGTCTTTCGCTCGGTTCATTCCGACCCCTTTGCCGAGTCTGAGTGTTCACCGACCTCGAGGGCCCAATTTACACAAGTCTTTCGAATCTTTCCAGAAAACACCCAGACACCCACCTTAAAGGGTAAACTCACAATTGCACGTGTAACACCGGGTTCGTACCGCGAGACCTCCAGACGGTCCAGGTCTCCGTAGACAGTCAGTCCCTCCTTGTCACTCCGTGCGGTGCCCCGCGAATACCATCGTCCGGGGCCGCGACCGGATCACGTCAAAAGCTCTCCCGGCGGGAGATCGGGCGATTGCGTAACTCACGGGTTAGGGTTGTATCAGCAGTGAATAATTCCCGCGCTTAACAGACCGACAGGGGATGAAATGCCCCGCCATCCGTCATCATCTCCCAACTCAAAGTCCAATGACTCCAATTGCCCGAAGACTCAGGACACAGATCAGACGGTTGACGATGCAACACCAAGCGGCCCGGGCGCCTGAAGTGCGTGAGAAAAACATGTACATCAGGCTGAAGTTTCATTTTGAATGACGCCGGCGAATGATGAGCCATTTTCTCCCCGAATGGGCTCTTGGTTGGTTGGAGGTGATTCTCGCTTCTTCTTCGGTTGTTATTGATGTTATCTTATCGAGGGGTGCGGGCCGTTGGCCGTTCATGGGCCGTTCACGATGTTATCGGATCGGTGCGATTGTGATGTGAAGTTAAGAAACTAACAGTATCAGAAGTATTTTACGGCCCATGCTGTTATAGCATCATCACCAAGCCATCAAGGTCCTCTACTGCCGAGTCTCGAGTCTCGAGCTGCAGATGAAGCTCGAGACTTTTCTCATCCATCATCTACATACCCCCACGGTCACATACATCCTTTGAAATGTAATCAAGCGCGCGCCCAGTCTCGCCAGTCAAACTAACGATGAAACTAACGAAAAGTGTAGTTGCATCCGAAAGATCTCTCTTATACTCTTAGCTTTTGACCGATCATCTTCCCAATATGCGATACAGCAAGGCAAAAGAACACTCCCTCCAGAGAACAACACAATGGGGCAGATCTCTCTCATCTCAGATACAAGCCAACGAAAGACCTGTGCTTTGCACAGCTATCACATGGGAAGTCAGTGATTTTTATCCGTCCCTCATCCGCTTTTGGCCGCCTTAATCATGGCCGGCTGTCAATCCAGCGGATACCTTCCTCACCCAGGCTTCATGCACACCATCGAGATATCTGCCACCGCGCGCTATCTGTATATGCGCATCGAGAACACATAAACCTGGAAACCTCCCGGGAGTGCGATGGCAAGTCACAATATGAGAAATCAAGTCAATCCCGAGTGCGGTCGTCCTCCCACGCCCAACATATATGCTTGTCAAACTTGTCAAGAATCGAAAATGAGCATCGAGAGACTACACCAGAAATCGCCGAAATCGATGGATTCGGATATGCATTTCACTGCCGTGTAAGTGGGAATGACGAGGACCGAGCCGGTCACAGCGCAAATTCGCATCACGTAAGACCAGGGCTCGCAGACGAGGAAACGGATCGACTTCTAACTCCTGTCGTCCCCCTCTTCACTAAGACGGATATATACTCTCCGAGCCTCCAGAATGTCGAATCAACGCTCCGGTCCATGTACGCCAAATAAGTTATCGTCACACAACGCCGGCATCGGCACTGGCACCGGCTCAAGCCTCAACTTCCCGAGTCTCGACGGCCACAGCATCTGCTTGGCAGTTTAGTACTCCCATCCGCACAGGCGTACTGGTACAAATTTGCTCGGCCTGCGGGAAAAACAACAACAAAAAAAAAGTAGTTAGACCAGTAGACCAGTACCCTCGGATTTCAAGTATTTCTGGCCGAATTCCAGTATACCTAGGACTGCTTTATTGGTTCATTTAGTTCTTCGCATACACGCAGTAGGTGGAACAGGAGGAGAACACGAACTTTCACTAACTTTCATTAGCCCTTCTTCTGACTATGGTTTGAAGGAATTACCTTAAAATGACCAGGGCTTAGTACAAGTATGTATGCCACAAAGCCTCTTTCTCCTCTGTGTCTCTCTCCTTCGGTTCTAATACCTCTCTCTCTTCCTCCTTTTATGAAAGTACAAGTGGAGGATTTAAAAGGGCAGCCGCCTTCCGGTAAAAGCTCAAATGCTTCTGTATTATAAGTAACTCGAAGAGCGGAAATGCGCGTTTTCTTGGACTAAACTAATAGATATGCTAGGGAACTTTGTGCCGACCGCATGGCCGAAGCACCACGCCTTGAAACCGAGTCGAGCTGTCGAGTACCCGTGGCACAGCATACCGTCGGCTCTCGAGGGCCACGGTTATGGTTTTGGCAGCCCTAACCGTGAACCATGAACTATAGACCATGAATCGCCAACATCATCCGGATAGAATCACGGTTTCACCTGCTGCGTTTGTAAGTGCTCCAGGTAACGAGATCACCGTTGGGCTTGGGAGTGGTAGAACGATACCCAGATACGAGGGGGCACAATATGCGCTGTTGATAGTTTACTGTTATGTGGTTTGTTTCTTGTGTTTGCCGATATCGCAGGTTCGTCGGGTTTGCCCGCGGTTATAATCGCTGTTATGTTATTCGGCTTACTGTCCTTCGATTTCTTCGCGATACTAAGAAAGCTGCCAGTATCAAATGGAAATGGGAAAGGGACAATCGGATTGTAGTAATAAACGTCGTTGCTCATTATCATGTCAAGTCTCTAGTCTCACAAAACGCCAGACAGCCATACCACCTTCAGCCTACCAACACCAACGCCTACTCATGCTCAAGCTGATGCCCATCCTTCCTTTCATCAACGCCTGGACGTCCTACTAACAAGTCACTCATCCTTCTTCTTGTCTCCCTCGCCCTTCTCCCTCTCCTCCTTTTCTTTCTTCTCCTTCGGATTCGTCCCCTCCAGCTCCTCCCCCGTTTCCTCATCCACCAGATTACTTTCACCCGCGAGTCCCTTAAACTTTGGTTTTCCATCCTTAATATCCACCACTCTCTGCGGATAAAACATATGACTCTGGACCTCGAACGCCTTCCTTCCCTTTTCGGTATTAATCCCTTCGATCAGCGTGGGAAAGAGCAAAATCATGTTGCGCCCTTCGTCCATGATGGGCGTTCGGCAGTAGGCGCATTGCACCTTGCATGGTAAATGGTGCGTCGTCGATTTGGCGGTGGGATCGTACCAACCTAGGTCGTTGTGCCCGTTGGTGAAGTTGATGTCTTCTTTGTGGAAGATGGCTGCCCATTGGAAGGGGGCCTGTTTTTTTTTTTGTTATCTCTTTGTTAGCTCCAGTCCCATCA